TCCCTTTCTCTGTCTCTCTCTAATGAGCGCACATGCCCTATGGCAAAGCCCAAAAAAAAAAAAAGCAATAGAGAGAACCCATTATTGGGTTTTACATAGGAAAGTGACATAAAACACAGTGACTTATGAAGTATGGGTTTTGCTTAAATGAAAGTTGAATTTTAACATCTCTGAAGTTCGTTCTAAAGTTCTTTGATTCATTGTAATAACAGTATAAAAAAGTAAATCAAAATGATATAAACATGTATCTCACTTTAATCTGAAAAGAATAAATAGCAATTAATATGTGGCTATATTAATGTAAAAATAAAGCTCTGCCTACAAAATATTACTAAATTCATATTAATTTCTTTGTGAAGAATTGAAATTAAATTTTTTCTGTGTCTCTAAAGTACATTTAGTTACTGTTGTATATTTTCTATCATATCAGTGAAAATATTAGATAATTTCCCATGAGTATATGTGTGTCATTTTAATATCCCCAAATATAGATGAAACTGTACTTTTTCTCTCCAGTGAATTAAACCATCAAGATGTTTCCATTAATTGGAAAAACAATCATCTTTGATAATTTTCCTGATCCTTCTGATACATGGGAAATTACTGAAACAATTGGCAAAGGAACTTACGGGAAAGTTTTTAAAGTATTAAATAAGAAAAATGGCCAAAAAGCAGCAGTCAAAATTCTGGATCCTATTCATGTAAGTCACATTGTTTCTTTCCCCCTAATTAACCTTTGTTTTTATTTGTATTAAACAGTTAAAGCCTGTGTCTTGTTTAATCATCATAATGTCATTCTAAAAAGTCATAATTTGGGGACCAGTAGGTGCCATGGTGGTTAAGGCACTGGATCCCCACATGGCCAACCTCAGTTTGAGTCCCAAATCTGGTAACTTGAAAAATCACACCAGGAATGTATGTGTGTATATATCCAAAATCCCAAGAGGAGAAGAATATATATATAATGTATATATGTGTGTGTATACATATATAAATGTATATAATATATATACATTCAATCACTGTGTATTATTATAGCATTCCAAATTAATTTGCCCATCCTGAATATACTGTATACTGGGTCAGTCAAAGATATTACCATACATATTATCAACCGATAATTTTCCATTTCTGTGTCCCTTATGTTTTGCTTCTTTCTTTTTCTTCTTGATTCCCTCCCGCTCAGTCTCCCCCACTTTCCACCCTCCTTCCACACTGTCCTTTCGGTAGATACCCATGAATGGAATTTCTGGATCATATGGTAATTCTATCTGTAGATCTTTGAGGAATCTCCATATTGTTCTCCATAGCGTCTGTACTAGTTTACATTCCCACCAACAATGTAGGAGTGTTCCCTTTTCACCCAAGCCTCACCAGCACTTATCATCCTTTGTTTTTTCATATTAGCCATTCTGACTGGGGTTAAGTGGTATCTTATTATGATTTTGGTTTGCATATCCCTTATGATAAGGATGTTGATCATTTTCATATGCTTTCTGACTATTCATATCTCTTCCTTAGAGAGTTGTCTGTTCACCCCACTTGTCCATCTTTTAATTGTCTATTATATATTTTTTTCAGGTAAGTTGTTTGAGTTCCCTGTATATTTTGCTTATCAGTCCCTTGTCTGAGGCATATATTGCAAATATATTCTCTCATTCCAAGGGTTGTTGATTCACTTTAATTATTGGTTCTTTTTCTGTCAAGAAGCATTATTTAAAAGAAAGAAAAAAGTCTACATTTCAGATTTTCCTGGTTTATGTGCTTAATTAACTTATATAATAAAGCATAATAAGCTTGATAAGTGAATGAATACATGCGTAAACACATAAATAAATACAGTTCTCAACATTTCAGCATTTGATTCAACATTATATTTCAAAAAATTATAAAAATGCAAACTCGTAGACCTAAAAGTCACCTTAAATAATCATCCTAACCAGATCTTTTGTTCTTTCTGCATTTATTTAGACTTCAGGAAGAATCTCTCTATGCTAAACTAAAGGTTTTTTGTTTTTGTTTTTGTTTTAAGTTCTTGCTATAGGGATCAGAGAAATCTAAGAAAAAGACACACAGAGAGAGAGAGAGAGACAAAATAAGAAACCACACACACCCCCCCAGGGGGGATGGAGAAATGGTCATGCTACAATCCTATCTTCATTCTCTTCCGAGAGAGAGACAAAATAAGAAACCACACACACACCCACAGGGGGGGATGGAGAAATGGTCATGTTACAATCCTATCTTCATTCTCTTCTCAAAATTTTGGGCACACACACACATACATATGCCTGGTGTGTTTTTCAAGCTGCCAGGTCCCAATCGGCCATGTAAGATACAGCCATCTTAACCACTTTACCAACAACTGGCCCAGAATTTTTATTTTTAATTACACTTCTTTCAGAGAAGGGAAATCAGTTTTTAAGAGTACTTAACTGTTTTCAAAGTAGAAATGTTGATTTATAAAGAGAGTGAGGATCCTCATTGTGTTGAAACAAACATAATGTTTAGTACTGCTAGTCTCTCTCTGCTCGAGTGACATCCAATGAGGTACTACACCCCATTACTTTTTGGGGGGTAGCAGTTGTGATAGAGAACTGCCAAGTCTTTTCTCTGTCCTTAAGAGCATGAGGAGATTGCCAAGATTCTGTTTTCCAGGAATGAGAGCTTGCAATTTTATAATATCTTACAGCTATTGGGAAATACTAAACCCTCTGATAGCAAGTGGGTAAGTCAGAATGAGCTCAGTAACAACATAGTCCTCAAATTACTATTGAGAGCAACTTCTTCAATTATGAGACACTTGCACACATCATGGGAAGATCACATGATGAGAATGATGAAATGCATCAAGTGCTTGTCACGAGTCATCCACCAACAACTACAGGACAAAGCAAAAGACCTTTGGACCTCTATTCATCTTAGGGTTGCTCTTTTTGTTGTTGTTATTGAGAGTTTATTTCTGCTAACCTATTGAAACTATACTGTTCTAAATTATTTTGAACAAAGGAAAAGGGGAAGGGAAGTTTTTAGTTTTTGTAATAAACTAGATATACCTGAGGAGAAAAATGAGAAGCACTATGCCCAGGCTTAACTGATGTGGAATGTCTTCCCATTTCGTCCCTTAGAAATTTCTTGCCATCTGGAACCAGCAGTTGGCATAATGGCTATGTCACTGGACTCCCATGTAGTCGACTGTGGTTTGAGTCCCGGACCCAGTGGCTTAAACTCAACGCTGGGTGCATGTGCGTGCGTGCCCAAGATCCCGAGAGGAGAATGGAGGAGAAAGGATTGTGCTGTGACCATCTTCCCAGTGGGTGATTTCTCACTTTCTGTCTCTCTGTCTCTGTCTTTCTGGAGAGTGCACGCACCCTATAGCAAAAACCTCTCCAAAAAAAAAAAATTCTTGCCATTTACACTGAGGGAAGAAAGACATGAGTTAAATTATACCAAAGTGACTATATGCCTTCTTCTTCTAAACTTTGCTGTTAGGGATTGGGGTTCATGGCAGCAAGAAAAAGGACTTCAGCCTGGTCCCATTGTCTAGACCCAAGAAGAAAGGACAAATGGCTTATTATGCATGTAACCACTCACTATTCTTTTATAACTTATTCATGTCTGTATGGTCTATCTACAAACATTATAAAACATATTTGGTGAAATACTGATTTCATAACTGTGGAACTCATTTTATTCTTTTGCTTTTATTCTTGCCACAATACATACAGTGTTTTCCTAAGAACTATTTATTTATTTATTCTTTTTTTTAGAGAGAGATTTTTGTTATATGGCATGTGCACTCACCACAGAGACAGAGAAAGATGGAGACAAAAAGCAAGAAATTACCGCTCAAGGAGATGGCCATTCCTCAATCCCTTCTCCTCTATTATCCTTTCAGGATTTGGGGCACACACGCACACATGCCTGGCATGAGTTTCAAGCTGCCAGGTTCAGGACTTGAACTGTGGTCGACTAAGTGGAACTCCAGCAACATAAGCATTATACCATCTTCTGGTCCCTATTTATTCTTTATTTATCATGTCTCAAGTCGAATAAAGATATAACCAAGAGATTATAATTAATAAATTTAAATGCATCCAAGCATTTTACAAAGGTTAGATTTCAAAATTTAATTTTTAATTTTTTTAATTTTTAAGTAATTAATTTACATTTATTCACTGAGCATCATCACAGCATACAGAATGTGATTTCTCATCCAGAATATATTGCATAGTGGCTTAATCAAACATGTTATTGTCAATAATTTTCCATTTCTAGTTTCGTGTGTGTGTGTGTGTGTGTGTGTGTGTGTGTGTGTATTTCCCCCCTATTTCTCATTCTCTGCCATTTCCCACCTTCCTCCCACACTATCCCAGGTGTCTACAGTTGTTTTCCATTCCTTCCCCCTCACTACATTTATTGATTCACAAAATATCCTAAATAATCTAACTAGTTTCAATAGCAAGTCCAGCTGGTATATACATACTGGTGAATACATGCCTGACTTTAGGCATCAAACTCTGAGTAGAATGAACATACTATAAGATAGCACCTAGCTGATGCTATATAGCTTACTACAGTCATTAAATAGGTATTTTTAATATTTTTTTTAATTTCAAGAAAAGCAGTTTTAGCTTTAATAAATCAAAGAAATGCTAAGGAACTTTGCTTAAAACTTAAAGCCAAGAAACAGGTTGGGATTCTGTTGAAGTAGTAGATACATGAACCTATTGGCAGCTCAAGACAAGACAAAAATCCTTAAAACTAAAAAACAAAGCCTAGAAGAAAATCAGTAATGTTTTAGTGAAAAGTCATAAAATGCTATTTCACCAGTTCAGTCTCGTGTACTTAATCTATCTTCTGTTGTGACTCGATCTTCCCAATTAAATTCTGGGATATAATATTCAACTCCAGACTTGTCCCTATGATTAAGCTGGTCATTTTCTTAGCTTTTGAACTCTTATTTCTATGTGTTCGTATTTAATTTTCCTGGTATAGCACTCCCTTGAGAACTTCTTGGAGAGCTGGTCTCGTGTTGGTAAATTCTTTCAAGTTTGTTTTGTTTATATGAGAATATTTTTGTCTTTTCTTCCCATGTGAAGGATAATCTTGCCAGGTACAATATTCTTGGTTGTAATTGTTTCTCCCTTAACACTATGAATATGCTTTCCCATTCTTTCCTTACTTGCATTATTTCTGATGAGAGATCTGCTGTTAGCCTGATGGGATATCCTTTGTAGGTAGTAACTTGATGTTTCTCTCTTGCCAATCTTAGTATCTAGTCTTTGTCTGTGGTTTTGGTCAATCTGGCTATAATGTGTCTTGGAGAAGATCTTCTTGGGTTGATTCTATGTGGGGTCCTTTGTATTTCTTGGGTCTGGATCTTTGAATGCCTCTCTAGGTTTGAAAAGTTTTCTTGCAGGATTTTATGGAATAGATTATCAATGCCCTTATGAGTCTCTTTACCTTCTGGGATACCAATTATCCAGATGTTTGGACGTTTGATGGTATCTAGTATTTCTCTATATTATGCTTATTTTTGGGGGGCAATTTTCTCAGTCTTTGTGGTGGATTTTTCTAGGCCAGCAATTCTACCTTCTACATCTGAGATTCAGTTTTCTGTATGATCTAATCTGTTTTTAATACTTTTTTTTTTGAGAGGTTTTTGCTATAGGGCATGTGTACTTGCCAGAAAGACAGAGACAGAGAGACAGAAAGCGAGAAATCACCCCTGGGGCGATGGCCACGCTGCAGCCCCTTCTCCATTCTCCTCTTGGGATCTTGGGCATGCATGCACACATTTGCGGTGTGAGTTTAAGCCACCAAGTCCGGGACTCGAACTGTGGTCAACTACATGGGAGTTCAGCAACGTAACCATTATGCCAACTGCTGATCTCCTGCTTTTAATACTTTTAAAGGATGTTTTGACTTCCTGTATTATAGCCTTCATCTCTAACGGGTCCATTGATTCTTTTTCATAGTGTGTATTTCCTCTTTTAGATCTTGTAAGAATTTCCTCACCTCCTGGAACTCATCAACTCTTTTCTCCTGCCACTTCTGCAGTTCATTGTCTCTCTTCTCTTCCATCTATGTTAGCTTTGTAACTATGAATATTCTAAATTCTTTATCTGACATTTTCATGAGTTTCATCGTACTGTCTGAGGACGAAGAGGAGTTATTCTTTCCCCTAAAGAGAGGTATTTTCTTGCTTTCCTATATTCCTTGTGACACTGAGGTGATTTCTAGTCAACTGATGGATGGTGCATATCTTCCTAATTCTTGAAGTTTAATATGAGCATTCAGAGTCATGCAAGAGAAGGTGATCTGCAATCTCTCTTCTGTTCTATTTTCACTCTTTGTGCATCAGATTCAGTGGGAATAGAGGAATATTATGACTCTAATTGTATTCAGATGTTTGATCTTGTTCACTTGGACCTGTCTAGACACTTAGTGCATAGAGGCCACTAGAAAAGAATCTGGAGGGAGAAGTTTCAGCAGAAAAATCTTCATTTTTAGTCCCTAGCAAGGAATATTTCATAGCTCAAGTTCAGTATCCATCTGAGGATGTGCCTGGGTTTGCGCCTTTCCCATTAGAAATGAATCTGGAGGGAGAAGTCTCAGCAGAAAATCTTTATTTTTAGTCCCTCCAAAGGAAGTGGCCATTGCGCTCCTGGTGTGGCCCCAGAGTTTACATGTGGTGGGTGGGGTGGGGCGGGACCCTCAGGTGTGCAGGGACCCCAGAACCCAGGGATGTAGGAACAATCAGACTCACAAGCTCCAGTGTGACCTTCATCTCACGAAATCAGCTTTGGAGTTGCAGGAAATTAATTTTTGAAAGTGTCTTTCCTTTCATTCATTCTATTGCTCTGTAAAATGTTTCATGTAGATATGATTTTTCTAGAAACATGATTAAGTTGGTATCTTTCATTTTTATTGATAAAATAGTACTGTTCTAGTTAATGAGCCTTCAATTAACTATCTTTCATAATATATATAATATAATTATGTTTCATAATGTAACTGTATTTTATTGTTTTGTGTGAAGTGGGATTTATCACTTATGTGATTCGTTTTTGGTAGCTTCCAAATATTCTGTATCCCCAAAAAACAGAGTGAACCATCTTTCTAATTCTAAATGTTTTAATTTCAAATCAATGGTTTTCCTAATTGTAGCAAACGTAATAATACAAAGAAAGCAAAATCTGCCATCAGGTGGTATGGAAGTTAAGGCAGCTGGATCCTCTAGGGGCAATTTCAAGGTTCCAATCTGACCTGACAGCTTGCAAAACACACATGTGCATGCGTGCCCCAAATCCCCAAAGGAGTGGGAGCGAGCCAGCAGGCGGCATAGTGATTAAGGTGCTGACTCCCACATGGCTGACTGCCACATGGCTAACTGTGGTTCGAGTCCTGGCCCGTCAACTTGAAAAATCATGCCAGGTACTTATGCATATGTGCCCAAAATCCCAAGGGGAAAATAGAGAAGAAGGAATTATGGCATGGTGCTCCATCACCACCACCCCCCCCCTGCCATGGGAGGATTTCTCACTTACCTTCTCTCTATGTCTCTGTCTCTCTCTCTCTCTCCAGCACATGCACCCTATGGAAAAACGTTTTAAAAAAAAATCCCAAAAATAAAATGGAGGAGGCATTGTGGCATGGCCATCCCCTTTGGGGGTTGATTTCTCTGTCTCTCTCTCTCTCTTTCTCTTTCTCTCACACATGTCAGTGAGTGCACATGCCCTATGGTAAACCAAGAAAACAAAACAAAAAAAGCAGAATTATCTGGAATAGTTCCCTATATATGTTTCTTTCCTATTACACACAAAAAATAGTACTTTATTTATCTTTTTTATTCAATGAAGTTAATACAACTTGAGATGCATTTGATTAACTCAAAATCAGTCTCTTTCCTTAATGCAATGAAAAATGTCACTATATAGTGAATAGGACAGTAAAAATTGTTATGATCACGGCTTGACAAAATTAAATTCTATATTTGGTAGTCTATAATGTGTTTCTCTGATATTCATGTTTTTCTCATAGCTTTCCTTATCGTTTTTGAAACTAGGATATTGATGAAGAGATTGAAGCAGAGTATAACATCTTAAAAGCACTGTCTGACCACCCTAATGTGGTCAAATTTTATGGGATTTACTTTAAGAAGGACAAAATAAATGGAGATAAGCTGTGGTTGGTTCTTGAGGTAAGTGATTCAGCATTATTTGCTTGGGTGGACATTTGCAGTGTGATCTTAGAATGACTTAATATTTAAGTAACATCGACATCATAAACCAGTATTTCTAGTTTGTTACTGACTGGACTTGTCCTCAGTAGAATGTTGTGCCCAGTTCTGGCCTTGACATCTTAAGATACAATCAGAAATTGGGACCAGCAGTTGGCCTAATGGCTGTGTTGCTGGACTCCCATGTAGTCAACTGTGGTTCAAGTCCCGGACCCAGTGGCTTAAACTCAACGCTGGGTGCATGTGCGTTCATGCCCAAGATCCTGAGAGGAGAATGGAGGAGAAAGGATTGTGGTGTGTCATTCCCCCATGTGTGGGGGGGTGATTTCTTGCTTTCTGTCTCTCTGTCTCTCTCTGTCTTTCTGGCAAGCATGCCCTATAGCAAAAACTATTCCAAAAAAAAAAAATACACATCAGAAATAAGTAAAGAAAATCCACAAACAAAACTATTAAAGATTTGAAGGAAATCACATCATCATAAAAGGCTAAAGAAACCGTGCTTCTTATTTCTGCAGAAAAACAAGTTCAAAAGAGATTCCATTGTAATATTATTTATTCATCTATGTTTTGTTTCTTTACCATGAAACCAAGATTCTCTGTCACAGTACTCATATGAATAATGTCAAGTAGGCCCTCATTTGAGCTGTGATTTTCTTTTTCTGTCCTTATTGAACGCTAATTACTTAAACTACAAAAACAAAGTATTTACGTTTACTGAAGAAAAATTACTAAAAATAGTGTTGATACTGAATAAATTGCCAAAGGGAAACTGGAAAACCTGCCTTCTCAGATACTTCATATGTGGAATAAGGGAGTGTCAAGTGTTTTGGTTTTTGTCCCTTTTCGCTGAAGCTCCAGCGGCACTATTATTAACACTGTCTGGGTTAACCTGTCAGGGGACTTCAAAAATAGCCTCTCCAAGTGTGAAGTGTGTTAGTTTGTAGCTTTGCCATATCAGTTACCACTTGCTTATCTGCTTCCATATTTCAAATTTTTGTTCAACTCTCTTGTCTACTGCTGTCCCTTTTTATATCTTTTTTTTTTCTTTTTTTTTTGTGGGTTAAACTTTTTTAGTTACTTACTAGCATTTCAATGGAGAATCATGAATAAGAGGACATTCATTTACTGGGTGGTCCAAAAAGTTGAGACACATTTTTTTTGCATAGAAAAACAGAAAAATATATCATGGGACCAGCAGTTAGCGTAATGGCTATGTCACTGGACTCCCATCTAGTCGACTGTGGTTCAAATCCCTGTGACTTAAACTCACCCCAGGCACGTGTGCGTGCATGCCCAAGATCCCAAGAGGAGAATGGAGGAGAAGGGATTGCAGCATGGCCATCCCACCAGGGGGTGATTTCTTGAATTCTGCCTCTCTGTTTCTCTCTGTCTGGTGAGCGCATACACCCTATAGCAAAAACCTCTCAAAAAACAAAAAAAAAAAACCAAAAAAAAAAACCCTGCTTGGATTCCAATGTTAGGGGCACCAAAATAAACTCATACTTTAGTTCCACTTTCCATAAACTTTTTGAAATTCTCTTATATTACATTTTACAAAGTTAAAAACTTGCTAAATAATCCTTTATGTTCTTTAAAAATAGTTTATGATTCAGCATTATTTTTTCCAGTTTGAGATAGATTTATATTTTTAGTGAAATCACATATTAAAACAAAGCTAACTTTTACTCATCTATCCTTCATTACCCAACTAATGGAATATATATTATGAACTTAAACCATTTTGCCTTATGTTAATGGAGGATTTTAAAGAATTGATATCTGTGTTTATATCATTGTGATCCAATGCTGTGCACATGGTTGAGATGGGGTTGAATAATTTTGTGTGTATATCTTTCAAAACATTTTTCATAATACCTGTTTAATTTTTCTTCGAGGTAGAGCCATTGACAGATTAGCTTTTAAATGGAGATTCAGATATACTGTCTAATGTAGTCTTACTTGGGCAAGGAAACAAGAGGAAATTTTTGCCCAGATATTCAAAATATTGAATAAGATCAGTTGTCTTTTAAGTTTCTAGGATAAATCGAGACCAGCAGATGGCATAATGGCTTTGTTGCTGGACTCCCATATAGTCAACCACAGTTCAAGTCCTGAACCTGGTGGCTTAAACTCATGCTGGGTGCGTGTATGTGTGTGCCCAAGATCCCTAGAGGAGAATGGAGGAGAAGGGATTGCGGCATGGCCATCCCCCCTAAGGAGGCTATTTCTCGCTTTCTGTCTCTCTGTCTCTGTCTTTCCGGCAAGCACATGTGCCCTATAGCAAAAACCTCTCCTAAAAAAGAAAAAAAAAGCTTCTTGGATAAATCTCTATTTTAATTTTACCAGCTTTTCTTAATATTATCACTTCAGGTTATAAGAGACTTGGACACTCTGATCATAGTTCAATATTTTTGAGAAAGCGAAATGATGAGTTAAAATAGTTTGGGAACATAGTTTTGGAACTTCAGTACAAGGGACGTTGTGTCCTGATATACTGAATGTGTAGAATCCTAATTTCGTAAACTTCTTTAAAATTTGTCCTCATATTTTATTATCAAATTGAGATATTGGAAATATTCCTAAATGCTTGAGAAAAGTAACAAATGTGGTATAATAAATGGTATATCAAAAATCTGAACTAGTCAAACTTACAAAGCAGAGGGGAAAGAAAGCAAGAAGTTGGCAAATTGATGTAAGAGCTGATTTGCATATGTAAATTAAACTAATTGCATTTACACAGAAATGTCTAGATGTACAATTACCTGATTTATAAACATGAATGGTGCAGGTGCTGCTTTAGAGGCACTTTCAGAAAATTGGCTTCTGGCATCAGTACTGTGTACTACAAAATGACTGCTAATTATACCTTTTATTGTAATAAAGCCCAAATCAATTATTTTGCATGAGGAAACCAAAAGAGTGGCCAGAGAGGGCTCTGATGTTACCAGAGAGTCATGCTAATCCTGTGAGTCTCCTATGTGAATATACACAAAGGAGGTGTATGCTGGAGGCCGCGTGTGTGTCTGAGCAGACTGATGACCCTCTGTAATCTGGCGAGTGGGTAAGGCTACACCAGCCTAGACAAACTCTCGACTTCTACTATGAAAAGTCATTTTATTCATGTTTCAATCCAGAATTGGAATCCTAGAAGTAATATTTTCCCAGATACTGGTGAGCAACCTATTTTCTCTAGTCATGATTTTTCAATGATTTTATGTACTTCTCAATACAGTTTTTCTTTCCTGAATTTTCCCTTGATTTTATTGTTCTATAAGTTTTTGCACATGAATGACATAAAAGCTTCTGTTTAGGAATTATGTTCTTCTTAATTGTCTGTAGGCTCATTTTTAGACTCTAAATGTTGTCCAGGTTTACTAAAAGAGCACTAACTGCAGGTCCTCTGAAATTCCAGTTACACATTTCAATGAAACTACCTGGTAAGAGAAGGAGCAGGAGGTTTCTTGCTGTGGGAACCAATATGATGTTGTACAGAGCATCTATGGGGATTTTTCTTTTTCTTTCTTTTTTTTGGGGGGGGGAAAGGTTTTTGCTACAGGGGCCGTGCCCTCGCCAGACAGAGAGACAGAAAGCGAGAAATCACTCCCCAGGGGGAATGGCCACGCCGCAATCCATTCTCCTCCATTCTTCTCTTGGGATCTTGGGCACGGATGCACATGCGCCTGGTGTGAGTTCTAAGCCATCAGGTCCGGAACTCGAACTGTGGTCGACTACGTGGGAGTCCAGCGACACAGCCATTACACTAACTGCTGGTCCTGGGATTTTTTAAATTTTTTTCTATATTTTGCCAGAGGATGTGTGTCCTCACCAGAGGAAACCTACAGAGATACAGAAAGAGAGAGAAATACAGAGAAGGGGGAGATGGAAAAGGTACCCTCTAATGGGATGTGTTCATGCCACAATTCCTTCTCCTCCATTTCTCCATCCTGTCAAGAGTTTGGACACATGCATGTGTGTGCATATCCAGCATGTTCCTCAAGCCACTGGAGCCAAGATTCAGGCCATGCAGTTGACCATGTAGGACCCAGTTCCCTTAACCACCAGGCCATAGAACCATCTCTGTGGGGATTTATATTGTCACTTAACATTTAGGTTCTCCTAATGCTGTAGGCATAAAGGAAGAACCAGTGTTTATTTGTTTGTTTAGGTTTTTGCCGTAGGGCACATGCACTTGCCAGAGACAGACAGACAGACAGATCGAGAGACAAAGAAAGGAAAAGTGAGAAGTCACTTCCCCTCCCTGTGGATGACCATGCTACAACCCCTTCTCCTCTAGTCTCCTCTTGGGATTTTTGGGCATGCACACACACACACATACACACACACACACAAATGCCTGGCATGATTTTCAAGTCAGCAGGTCCAGGACTTTAACCATGGTCACCCATGTGGGAATCCAACACCTTCACCACCACACTATTTGCTAACCCCAAGAACCAGTGTTTTTGTTGGTTTTTACTTATGCCTAATTTGAAATCTATTACTTGCCACCATATCTGTTGTGTAACTTGTATAGTGAGAGATCGATACCCCTTTTGACTTTGTTCTTCCTTTAAAGCCTACCACCTGCTTTTAAGGGTTAGTCTTGAGGATGGGGGGACCTGACGAGGTGAGGGGTGGATTATGTTTTTGTGTATACTTCTCACCTCACCCAGGAGACAAAAAATTCAGAGTTGAAATTGAGCTAAATCAGATTTGAATGAAACATTTGTTACTGATGAACACAAAGGGGAAACGTGAGATTTAACTATAATTTTTCACTTCTTAGTTGGGCGAACAACCACATTTTAAGTATGGACTCCTCTCTCAGGAGCTTTTGCTTAGTGTGACTGTAGCTGTAATGGAACGGGAATTCAGATTAAGGACATCTTTCTGTTAAAAGGCTCCTTCCCTCATAATCCAATCTTAGCTGTAATTGCTCCTTTCACGGTGGTGCTACAGAC